AAACCAACATATAAATAGGTTGGAAAAACAACATGTAGATATGCTGTTACTGGATAAAAAGTTAAAGACTCAAAGAAATCAAATTAAAATATATGGACTTTATATATGTTTGGATTATGTTTTCTTGTCTGTAAGTAATGTAATAGACTGAACGCTAAATCTTAAAGGCTATGAATTCACGTGGAATGAAATGAACATGAGGAAATGTACATTGCCCTTAAGATGCTATTTTTAATTATCTTTAAGTTGTTATTTAAAATGTATTGTCCTTAAGATGTTACTTTTGTTAAGAAGTTGGAATGAAATGAAGTGAGCATGGGGAGGGGAAATGGTCATAAAAAGAAAATATATATATATATAGTTTTAGCCTGTAATGGTTTTTGGGCTTTGTTGGTATAAGTATATTTAAAAAATGAATTTTGGTATAAGAATTGTCAGAGTATAAGATAAATGGATATGTAGGGTGAGGAAGTATCAAATGAAGTAATTTGAGTTGATTGTGAAACAAAATTATTTTGATATATTATTATTGTTTATGATATATTGCTTTGCTAGTCATACCTGTGTTTGTGAAATGATGTAAAGGAAGTAGGGTCTTAGAGACTCAAATGATGGAAAGGGTAGAGTAGTCTTAGAATATAAGAAATAATGAATTTAATGACAAGCTTGAATTGAAGGGAAGGTACTGGATTTAAAGTCAAATTGGAACTAAAAGGAATGTATTGGAGTAGCTTTCTCCAAGGGAACAAATATGAAGAAGGTATAGGGAGAGGAGAAAGAGGGAAATTGAAAAGTTATCACTATTGGATGCGTGTACCTGCAAGTTTGTATTTTGAAAAATTAATATTTACTGGATGTGTGTACATGAAAGCTTCTTTTTGGGTGATTGTGTAAAAGGAATAATTGTGAAGTGGTGTAATGTTGCTCTGTAGAAATGATTTGAAGTACAAAAAAAACTTATTGTAATTAGTATTTATAATTGTTGGTGAAATATGCATTTTGTGAAAACCCAATAAAAAGTATATTAAAAAAAAAAAAAGGAAGGCTTAAGGCTTTTCTGTTCCTCTGCCGACAGTGCTCTTGAGGTGGGAACCAACTGGGAACCACAGTCCCTCCTGGGCAAGGGTCTTGTCCGCTTTCTTGAAACATAGGCTGGCTGGGTGCCACGTGGGAAATGGTGCTCAGGAGAGCCGTGGGTGCCATCACAGAGAGCTACTTTTAGCTCCCAAGAGTTAGAACATAAGAACATAAGAGAAGCCAATGTTGGATCAGGCCTATGGCCCATCCAGTCCAACTGTCACACAGTGGCCGAAATTCCAGGTTCCATCAGGAGGTCCACCACTGCGGCCAGAACTCCATAAGCCCTCCCACTGCTTCCCTCCAAGCACCAAGAACACAGAGCACCACCTGCCCCAGATCGAGAGTTTCTACAGATGGACCTCTGCGCCATATGTCTATCCAATTCCCTCTTGAAGCCATCCATGCTTGTAGCCGCCACCTCCTCCTGTGGCAGTGAATTCCATGTGTTAACCACTCTTTGGGTGAAGAAGGACTTCCTTTTATCTGTTCTAACCACTGTTCCCTCTAAGCTGAGTTAGTGTGAGCTAGCTCACAGTATTTTAGCCTCCGGCTCACACATTTTTGTCTCGGCCCAGGCAGGATGGCTCCAGAGCAAACCAATTTATGCAGTAGCCAAATGGCTGGCTCACAACTTTAATTCCGGTAGCTCACAAGACTCCACAGCTTAGAGGGAACCCCCGACTGCTCAGCACAATTTCATCGAGTGCCCACGAGTTCAGCTCCATCAGAGCAAGCTTGTTCTCCCCTCAAAAAAGAGTTCTGCCAACTCGTACAGAGTCAGGCGACATAACAGGAGGTTCTAAAGATGGGCCGTAGCTCAGAGCGAGGGTGCTACATTCCTGGGAAGATCTGGATGGCTTCCTCCTGGTCCCTCTCCCACGCCAATGGGAACTCACGCACTCAAAAGCGAGCCACTGCTAATGCTTTATCAAAGTTCTAAAAGCACAGCTCAATGATACGAGATCTGATCAATGAACCTGTGGGTTAGTGTGATTTAAAAGACAAAGTTTAGCCCTATCCCTTCCCTTCCGATATGCTCTCTGCACTCATCATCGAATCGCGTATTTCTTCGCACAGTCGTACAGGTCACTGACAGTTCTGTACAGACTGGCTTGACAAGATCCACAATGCTCGGTAGTACTTCTATCGTCCCGACAGGTATCCCACCTTCTCGTAAATGCCATCAGCAGGAGCCTACAGTTCCTGGAATGCCTAACATTCGTTGCTGCAGGGATTCAACCTGATGAGTACCTAAGGGGCCTCAGGGTTTTCCACTTCCAGAACGGTCACCCACCCTAAAGGCCCAGATCCAAAGGAGCAAAGCGGGATAGATGCCGCTAGCCCCTTTATTTGTCCCACAGGTGGGACTCACCGTCTGGATCGAATTCTCAGTATCCATTTCAAATCACAGTGCCACAGTTACTGCACCATTAAAGAGCTGCTTGCCAGCAAACTCTGCCTGAGGGCCTCGGCATTGCTTTTCAAATGGATAAACTGTTTACACCCATCTGAAGAAATGCATTTTCTCCTGGGCACCTGGCAAGCCAGCAGGCCTCCACGGGGCTCTTTAAAAAGTGACTGAGCTAAGAACAAGCAGGAAGCAGGGAGGGGATTAGTCCAGCACATTCCAGAAGCCCCTCAGTGACCACCTCTTAAGAAATCCTATTGGATCTACCTGGTGACAATGCAATGGGCCTGGTCACCCCCTCCCCAGCAGCAGGCCTCCTTAGAAAGTTTCTGAGCTTTTAAAAAGTTTCTTGGTGCTTTAAAAAAAATAATAATGAAAAAAAACCTTTTGGGTGACAGAGGCTTGTAAACGAATGTCTGCTCATGAGCAGATGTAGCGAAAAATCAATTAATCAGTTATGGAATTAGGATGGCATTTTGAGTTTCCCTAGTAACCCCCAATGGCCCAGGAAGATGTGGCGGTAGAGTCCCCCTGGAGCAGATGACCGGGAGCCCCCTTTCTGCCTCCCCTACCCTACCCCCTCTTCTTCCTCCTCACCATGCCTAGGATGAGAGAGGGGCGTGAATGGGCAGGAGCGGGTAGGAAAGCAAACTGGGGTAAATGGAAGCCCTGCTGGATCTCTTTTTTTGCACTGTGGTATTCTGTGCCTCTTTCCCCTGAAGTCTAGGGTTGCCAGCCTCCAGGTGGGGCCTGGAGATCTCCTGCTTTTACAACTGATCTCCAGCTGACAGAGATCAGCTCCCCTGGAGAAAAAGGGCTGCTTTGAAGAGTGGACTCTATGGCCTTGTACCCTGCCAAGGCCCCTCCCCTCCCCAATCCCCACCTTCTCCTGGATCCACCCCCAAAGTCTCCAGGTATTTTCCAACCCAGACCTTGGCAAGGCTTGGCCTTTCCGGGGCTGTTTTGGCCCCCAGTCTCCTCCCGCTCCCCCTCCCACAGCTGGGCTTTAGAATGTTTGGCAGAACTGCCGCAGTTGCCAGGCAACACCAGCCCAGCGTCCAGTGAAGACACTGAAGAAGGCCTGATTGGCCGGAAACCTGTTAGGTCACAATAACTGTTCCTTGTGTATTCTTCATTTGTACTTGTTAACGAGGCTTTCATTGGGCCCTTGTATGTTAACTTTCCCCCAAATAAACACATGTATTTTTACTTATAATCAATTTATATGAGGTTTTAACTATTGGCCCTATGGCAGTTTTTTTTCAGGCAATGCCATAAAAATCCGCCCTCCAAAGGATCCGGCCTGTACGCAGGGGGTTTTTTTTTAGTCCGGGGGCATTTAAATTTCTTAGGGGGCACCGGTTGATCGAATTCAAGGTAATTTAATTAATTTAATTAATTTAATTAATGTTAAATAGACTTTCCGGGGGAAATAGAGAGGAGCCGTCTGGTTTGGCACTGCCACCATAGCCAGTCTTTCGTGCCAGGTAGCTGCACAGGAATACCCGGCTTCTTCCCCGCACCCCTGCCACTCAGGAGCACCCTGGGCTGAATGAGAAAGTCAGGGGGGGCCTTGCCAGTAAGTCAGGGGGCCTATCCCCAAGATGCCACACTGTAGCGACAGGCCTGCAAAGGACCCATCTTCTCCAGGGGGAGCCGATTTCTTTAGTCTGGAGAGGAGCTGGAATTCCAGGGGGTCCCACCCAGATCCCACCTGGAGGCTGTCTTCTGCACTAAAGTTGCAGCCCATCCCGAGGATGCCTTGTGCCCGGGAGAAAGAGGGTAGGGTTAGCATATTTCCCAACTGACGACTTCAAACAAGCGACCACCAACAAACCTCATTCTACGTACCCCTCCTATTTCAGCTGTACTAATTGCTACCAACTAGAAATAGTCCTAGCCTCCCACCCCCAATAAGAGGACATTTTCATGATTGTTTTTAAAGAGCCCAAAACAGGGCCTCTGGTGACCAGTGCTCCTCCCTCTAAGCTGTGGAGTCCTGAGAGCAAAAATTCTACTTTGTGATCTACTGGCATTAAAGTTGTGAGCGGGCGATTTGGCCGCTGCATCAATTAGTTTGCTCTGGAGCCCTCCTTCCCGAGCTGAGACAAAAAATGTGTGAGCCGGAGGCTGAAAAACTGTGAGCTAGCGCACACTAACTCAGCTTAGAGGAGACACTGCTGGTGACCCTACAAGCGGGGAAAGGTCTTTCCTCCCCAAGAAAGCCTCGTGCCGGCTCATCCCTACCCTGGGAGGCGGAGCCCAACTCCCCTTTAAGACCCCGCGCCGGCTTCCACGCCATGCGCGGCGTCCATCTGCCCTCCGACATGAAACGCTCCGCTGTTCCGGGGAGCGCGCTCTTTTCTCCTCCCCCTCTGTCTCCCGTCCTCCCCTTTAAGGCGCTTGTTTTGGGGAGGAGTCGCGCGGGTGCCGGTGCCGCAGTGCCTGCCGGGAACGATGAGGCCGCCGGTGGCTGGAGAAAGGCGAGAAGCGCGGGTGGGTGGCGGCGGCGGGAGCGGCGGGAGGAGCAGCCCTTGAGAGGAGCAGAGGAGGGGCTGCGCGCGCAGGTAATAAAACCG